CAATATGCCTACTCGATTCTTCGTTCGTTCTTAACTATCATCCGTTGATCTCCGAACACGATCCCGGCTTGAGTCCTTGGGCTTTCAGTCAGACTTCAAAGCTCCAAATTACTTAAATTCATTCCATAACATCTACATAGTTCGGAATCATTCTTACAAGCATAAAACACACAATTAGTACAAAACACTAGCGATTAAAGTCAAACTCAACTGAAGTGCAGTGAATTGGAATGTAATAATGGACTAAAATACGTAATTATAGCCTATCATCAATACGTAATTTCCAATTCGAGTGTGCATTTTATGCGACTCGGCCTTACAACTTCAAATCAATTAATAATAATAAACATGTTGAGTCGTGGGTGCGTTTCACGTGACACGATCACAATCCGTACAAAATAACGAGTGCGCGATATCGTGACTCGTTGAAATAAATTTCATAAATATTAAAAGCAGTTAAATATTTAAAAGCGGTTAGAAAGTAAAAATGCATAAAAGATTTTCAAACATGTAATAAATGAGATAATTAGGCCAATTATTAATAGTTAAGTGACCGTGCTAAAATCACCACGGTCTTATGTTAAATACCTCACACCTTCTCCCGAACCAGTGACTTGAGACACCACGGTCTTCTGTGTTTCGCGGACTGTAAAACATAGTCAATTTCCTCGATATGGGAAAGGCTGAACGTGACATAAACTCAGAAACATAAAGCTTGTGATTTGACAAAAAAATCGCAATTAGTGAATGCGACTTATAAGTCGGGTTTTCGAATTGCGACTTATACAGCTCCATTACATAATTCCGATTAGGCCGCCCCAGCTAATTTGAAACCCGTTAAAGTCGGTACCCGTTTTAAAGGACTGCCGAACTAAACTACATAAAATCCATCGATTGATGCCCTAATCATTGTTGGAGATTTCAATTTGAAATTCGCTCTTCTATCGCACTTTCTTCTTCAGTGGAATCAACTAATCAACACAATTGCAGGTTTTTCTTCAAATTTCGTCTCCCTTAACAGTTTCATAGGGCAAAAAGTTAGATTTACACAGTTGATTGGCCAAAAAATAGCTTGTAACTATAACGTCTAAATTTGTGGAAACAAGCGGTACCAGTGCCTTTTTTCTTATGTTATACGAAATGTGCGTTTGTTTTTCCCTTATATTCCCGGCGTCGATCGTTTTTAGGAATTTCTTTGTTGTTTTTTCCTGGATTTGATAATCATGTTATAGAAGGAGAATGTTTTCGGCAAGTTTATCGTGCGAGTATTGTTTCTATTGTGTCTGCTTCAATTAGATAAGTTTGGCTATACGATGAGCTCCCTTTTGTCCAGAATAAGAAAAACTAATGGATTTTTGCATAATTTATGACCAGTTAAGTTGATGTTAACGTTTACAAGTTTTATAGGAGGATATTCTTTATGCATTCGGTTTTATAACTCTTTTTATTTCCCAATGGTGTCTGCTTGGTGTATCTAACTGATAATCTGATATGTTTGATGGTACTTGCGGTATGAGGATTTATTGAATGCTTTTGCAGGTTGAAAAGTGGAAGTTGGAATAAATAGATAATGAACAACTCTTCTATAGGGCCATCGTCAAAAGCTAGAGTAGGAGCATCACAACCATCAGAAAGTTCATTAAAAAGAAAACGCGGCATGTTTCAGAAAGACTGTAAGTGACTGTTCACATAAGCATGGATAAATCAATGAATCCAAGTTCTATTTATTAATGTTTCTTCTGTTTCATTGCACAGTGCAACACATGATGTATGGGTTTGGAGATGATAGTAATGTAAGATGCCTTTTCTCTTTTACGTTTCATCTTTTATTGTTTTCCCCTTGTGTATGTTTGGTGATGTTTATATTCACTATTTCTTTTGTTTGTCGGGAATTTAGTAGAATATGCCATGGTGCTATTGCCAAGTTCTTTGTTTGTGCACGCGTTAATAGTAGAAAAAATTACAGATTTTGTTGGTTCATATTGAGTATGGCGTTTGTTTAATAATGTTCTAACAACAACATGTGCTGGCTACAGGAAGCAGTTTGATCTTTCTTTTGGTAACATAACTAAGCTTTTGTCTAAACTCTAGCAATAACTTTCAGAGGTACTTTTTTTTTTTTTGATGACCAAGAAATCCGTCTGGGTTGGATCCTTTGGACCAACCGCAGCCTTCGAAACTCGGTGGATAATGGGCCCGCCCCTCTACCCTTCTCCACTTAAATACCGGGCTTTGCTTTGCATGGTGTGGGGGCTTGAACTTGTGACCTAAGACACAAATCCACCACCCTTTGCCACTTGAGCTAGGCCCTGGGGGCCGATCCTTTGGACCAACCGCAGCCTTCGAAACTCGGTGGATAATGGGCCCGCCCCTCTACCCTTCTCCACTTAAATACCGGGCTTTGCTTTGCATGGTGTGGGGGCTTGAACTTGTGACCTAAGACACAAATCCACCACCCTTTGCCACTTGAGCTAGGCCCTGGGGGCTAACTTTCAGAGGTACTTGTGCTGATACTTAAGAAAGAACAGAACCAGGAGTCGAATTTTGTACCATATTCGTCTAGTTTTCTCGCTAAAAAGGATAATCTATCTCGTTGTAGCACACTCCTTTCTGTTTACCAGATTTTCCTGTCCCTGCTCCATAAGTGATTTGCGCACATTCCTTTCTGGTTGATTGCCTTGTATATCGAAATATTGTGTCTCAAAGTTATCTGATCTTCTCTGATTTGGTATTATTTATACTCTGATTTACTGAGCTTCTACTGTTGTACTATCAGCCGCTTCCAGAAACTGTGGCACTTGTGGAGGACATCGTTGTGGATTATGTCACTGATATGGTGAGATGAACTGATTTCTACCCAATTCTGTTCTTACCAAGAATTTCTGACAACATATTCTCCTACTGTATATTACGCCCAGCATTTTTTGACTATTATCTCTTTTTAGAAGAAACATGCATTTGGTCCTATCTTTTAAGCTTCACAACTTGTATAGGTGCACAAAGCTCAAGATATTGCAACCAAAAGGGGGAAGCTTTTGACAGAGGACTTTCTGTTCTTAATCAGAAAGGTAGACTTTTTTATGAATTCAGCTTTTATTTATATGCATCTCTATCTCTTCTTTGTTTTTGTGTTTTAATAGAAGTTGATATTTTCAAGGTTGTGCATCCCAATCTTAATCACTAGTCTTGAGGTCTTATTTGTCGCATCCAAAAGTTAACCACTGGTCAAAGGTGTTAGTACTGCTATCAAGCTGAATAATTGGTTTCATATTTATGATAATCATAGTTTAGCTTATGTATTTACGTGCTAGAATTGATATTCAAAATTGGTCCCGTTGGTCATGTTATGTATGTTTATACCTGATTAAACTGAAACTCTTTTGGTCTAGTCATATGCTTCTGTTGCAACTAAAGAAGTTGAGAATAGTCATCTTCATAGTTACTATATTGATTATCTAAACAACAATTACTCCAATTTTTGGATTGGGGAGAATTGGACCGGGAGTTAATGGAGTTGTCTTGACATTAGTTCCTTTGTTTAATACCACTTTCGTCATTCTATTGCCCTGCTTTCTGCTTTCTTTTGCTGTAATTCTAATATGAGTGAACACATGTTGGTAGCTGTAAAAGAGAATCTAGAAGGCCATTATGAAAGATCAGTCATGCCTATTGCTTGCATTGCATTGGCTCTGCGAGCTGGATATGATGTTAGTTCAACTTTATGTGCTCTGAGGTTCTGAATTTTGGATGAATACTGTTTTATTGTGCAGGACTTGCCCAAACTTAACCGGTGTACAGAATTATTGTCCATGAATGAGGAGCTGAAACAAGCTCGGAAGGCTTTTGAGGTTGACGAAGAGAAATTAGCTACACTTGAGTGATGAGGAGAATATAAAGTTATGATCTTACTTCAGAATGCCAAATTGAGTGGCACCTTAGGGACCAGTGTATACAATCTGCTCCTCATTTGCCAAAACAGAAGAGTAAATAACTGCTGTCCACAGTTTTCTCCAGCCTAATCAGATGACTGTGTCACCTTGTATCTGTGCTTAGAGTTACCTAGTCTTTGTTCTAGTTAACCTGTCTTTGAACATGCTTTTTTCTCTCTGTCCCCAGTTCCCAACATACACCTGTGTACAGTTGATATCCTGCTTCTGCTCAGTGTGCAGTTTATTAAGGATTTTTATCAGAAAAAAAACACTGGGCGTCTGAGCTAATTGGAATGTCCTGCCTGCTTCATTAGATCCTCCTCAATGATGAAATCAGTTTCTTAAGTGCTCTTTGGATGCATTGAATCCACCCCCATGTACTTGAAGAATTCGATCCAAGGGCAGCTGATAATGTCATCTATCTACTTTTTCCCCCCGTAGATAGTGTCATCTATCTACTTAACACAAGTTGCCGTTCAATTAGATTGGTTTAAATCTGTTTAATACGCTAAAGAACCTACAAAGATTTGTAAATATTTTAATTCTTAGGGTTGACTGTTGAAGGTGTATCAATATCCAGTCATCTTTTGGTTCCAACTTTGGATAAACTACATTTGACGAAGATGGAATATCTTATAAAGTGAAGAGCAAGTTAAGAATCCATAGTGTTAGACTGTAACAGAACTTTTGTTGACGAAAGGTCAAGAGCTGGATTGCACTTATATTAAAACTTTCTACATTGCTGATAAATGATTTCAATCTAAAGGGTATAAAATTTAGTGTTATGAAGGATTTTTTTTTAATAATCAAAATTTTCCCTTTAATACTAATTGCTTTAAACAAAGTTGGCTCTATAAATAGTGGCAGTATATATATTATATAATGGATTGTAGTTAGATTGTAATTTATATGGCATTCTTTTCGTTTTGACAATCACTAGTTCAACATCTCTTATTATCACCATTAAATTAACAACTCGAATGATATGGAGGGTCAGTAATATCTATGTTTTAAAAATGAAAAACATATAAAGCATTTACATCTTTCCTGCTTACTCAAATGGTAATTTCAAATTGGTAGAAACATATCTTACGTGAGGCATTATTTTAGCGAAAAGAGTAACTCGGTGAGTTTTACCAAACTCATCAACCCACTCAGTTTTAGCGCCAACAGAACTATAAATATCTGTTCGAACCCATTTTGAATTCTCTCTCTCATTCCCACAAAACAAACACACACGCGCGCGCGAAAATTCTCACAATTCAACTTTCCAGAGCGGTAAGGAAATGTCAGCATCAAAATCGAGCGCAAGGAAGAGAGTTTCGGAGCCGGAAATTCCGAAATCGGAGAGCAAAAGGCGAGTCGGCGCCGTCGAGGAAGAATTCGATGCTGAGATCTCAGAGTATGCATTCATTTTCATTCATCGCTGTTAATTTTCTGAAGTGTTTTCTGGAATTTGATGAATTCGTATACACGTGTGAAATTTGACAGTGATATCAAAGGGATTATGACGGCGTTAAAGCAGATTAGAGAGAAAGCACAACAGGACGGTCTGAAGAAGAAAGAAGAAACTATCTCTAGGTGCATTTTCTGCATTCCTGTTCTCATCTATCATGATTGTGCCGTGTATACATATATACGAAGCTTTATAAATTTGTGTACGCGTGGTTTGATCATTAGATTGCTGAATCTCAAACCTAGAATCAAGCTCTGTTTTCTCCGTTCACATGTATTTGTTGAAGTACTCGCAGACGTGTTCGTTTCATGTATTTTATTAGATTTCGCCTGTGCGTATTGCTAATATATTCACGTTTCACCAATTTCGTCAGCTAGGAGGAACTAGATATTTGTAAATTTTATGAGTCGAATTGGCGTATTTTTCTGCAAATTCTATTCCATATTCTCTCGATTGCAGCTTTTCCATTACGCAACACGGACTAGTATAAAGATCTATAAAAATTCTTTCTAACTGTCTATTTTGATCAGGATATGGCTTTTGATATAATTAATGCATTCTGAGCTCCTTGTTGCCTTTGTGCACAGTACTTCTAGCAGAATTTTGGTTTTTGATAATCATCTTTGGAATGTATGTGGGGAGTTGATGTTTGTGGAGATTTCTGATTATGCCAATGGTTTGCTTATTGTTTACATGAGCTTTGTGCAATAACAAGTACTGTTGCTTAATTTCATAACCTAAAAGTGATTCTAGTTTGACTGCCATGTGCCAGCTTGTTAAGGCACTCAAGCAGCTAATATTTAAGTTCTGACATATCAGTACTCTGTAGCTGTTTGACCAATCTGCTGTGTTTTGCAATATTTATTAATTAGAGTAAGAAATGGATAAAAGAGTTTTACTGGTTGTTCTTGAGTGAAATTGAAACTAATTGGGATACTGTAAGCAATTGGGCATAAAGTAACTGCATGAAAATGGGTGCCAAATGTAAGCATTATGAGTTCCGTTTCCTGCGATATCAACTCCAGCACTTACTATTTGGCGTGTTTCACTTTAATTTTAGAAATGATTACTAACATTACCGCTCTTGCTCTGTGGTTAGCGTGACTTCAGAAGTCAAGTCAAAGATTGATGAGCTGAAACTAAAACTTGAGAAAGACAGGTGAGAAATATCTGTTGCAAAATACATGCTAAATGTAAGATTTAATTGTTGGAAGTGGTAGCTTCTTGTTGATCCTCCATATTGTTTGATCATCAGGCAAAATTTTGCCAAGACACTGTCCAAGAGCTCCAAAGAGGTCAGCCTCAGTTAGATGAGTTAGCTGTGATAGGACATTTGAATAGAAGCCTAGTACTACTATTTTTTAACATGTATTGCTTCTTTGCAGTGTGAGAACTTACTTAAGACTGAAACAGCTAAGTTTCAATCAATTTATGAGAATTTCAACAAGGAGAAAGCTACACATCTGCAGTCTCTCAAAGGTACTTTTCTAGTTTGAGTTTTCCCCAACAAAGAGGCCTGTTTGTAGCCTGTACAGCATCTGGTCATTGTGTTTCTAGTTTAACCACCTCTTACATTTCATGAGATATCATGTTAGAAAATTTTGCAATCTTTTACGGGGCAAAACTGAACACTGTTCCAGAATTTCAACTAGATTAGGACGTTTATACTTGAGATATGTTTGATATGTTTTGAAGAGTCACTCTTACAAACCCTGTTTGAAGAAGCATTGTAAAGGCTAACCATCTTGATGGTATCTCAACAGATACTATATCCAAATATGAGGAAGAAAAAGAAAGACTATTCATGCGATATGAGCAGCTAAGTGAGTTACAGAAACTCTCGGTATTATATTCTCATTGATTAATAAGGATGCCTGTGACAGATTTTTATGACAATAATTCAGGAAAGAAAGAGAAGAGCATGATATCTGAACTTGAGCAAGACTCTAAGAAACGAATTACTGAACTAGAGGAGTCGCTGAAGAAAAAGAAGCAGGTTAACTTCTTTGATGCACCACTTCTCTGTCAGACTCACATGTATCCTCAAAACAATCACTAATGTGTACATTTTGAAACTTGACAGGATGATAAAGCATTCAGCTTTCTGAGAAAAACTCTAGGTTCATTTCTGGATAATGCCTCAGATGAGGACTTCCCACCTGATGATTGAAAGTCGCGCAGATGTATCTGCAGCTGACATTGCTTCTATCTCCTGATGATTGAGAGTCCCACAGACGGTCCATGGAATACCACCACTAGCAATTAATTGGAACATCTTATAGTTGATATAAAAAAGACCAGAAGCTCTTCTATAGTCAAGCTTATATGGTTAAACTGTTCCATTGATCAATAGTTTTTCTTAGTAGTTGCATTGGATTGCACATTCAATATTGCTGTTTAATCCTAGCAGGACAGACTAATGTTGAGTCCAAAGCCCGGATTGAGATGTATTAACTGGTATAGGTGTTCTAATTCTCCCGCTGCTCAACCAAGTCATGTTTTTATTTCTTTTTTTCGCCGCTTGATCTTGTAATAGGCAATGATTGTCGTTTTACGTTTTCCAAAATGTTTGTGTTGCACATATGCACTAGTACCCTTAAGAGAAATCTTTCAGCTATGGTGAACGCAATAATTCCACATGTAAGTAAATAATACTGTATAAAACCACCTGATATTCACTTCTATAAAACAAATGAAGTAAGAAAAATCATTGTACAATGTTAGAACTTGTGGGTAGTTCTATGCAACTAATGTATCAGGACCTCAATTGGAATTATATTGACATGGTTGGGAACTTAAAGTCGGTCTCTCTTTTCTGATCAGTCACTTGTAGGGGTTTCAGACTTCTTTCAGTCCCATATTCACTGGTCCACATTCACTGCGTTATGGGTATGAAATTACCACACAATAATACCAAGTGGACATGGTTCCATAACAGAAGATCAAGGGGGTCGATCCAATAGATTGAAAGTTCAATGGTTCTAACACAACATAAAGTGAAGGAATTTTGTTCTTATTTGTAAAATGATTACATTAGTATAACAGAGTTTGACTTCCCTATATTTGCAGTTCAGATACTGAATTAGCCTCCACTAATAGGTGGTATGATGGCCAATTCATCTCCATCTTTGACCGTGGTGGACTCAGGTGTGTATTCCTCATTCCGGGCCAGAAGCATGCACCCACGAATCTCTTCCAAGCGGGGGAAGTGAGAAATGACCTTATTCAAGCAATCACCGGCGGTACTACCATAAGAAACTTCCAATGGCATTTCACTCATGCCGGTCAGATCTCTAGCACGGGCGAAAAACAGAAACTTTACCTGAAGAGATCTACTCTCATCTCCATTCTGCAAAGTTTCCACATCTGTACTGTCAATTTGTTTATCAATCATGTCCATTGCAAATAACCTGTCCAACATATTCAACAGCAGGTGTAACATCTATCAGTTATGCTCCACTTCCAAAGTCGTGATTTTTGAGAAATTAAAATTGGAACAGAAATAACATATAGCTTTTCTCAGGAAGGGAGGGATGGAACTAGAAATTAAGCTTCTTTTATGAATAAGAAAGACAACTAAGCCATCTAGAAGATGGGAATAGAAGAATTCTCAGTTATAAATAAATAAACAGCATAGCCATCTTCTTGTGATGGTTACATGAAGCTACCTTACCCCCAGAAGTCAATATTATTTACTCTTAGAATGCTACCCTAGTTTGACATGATCTTCTTGACACAATGGTGTTCCTATTATACACCTTGCATTTTAGCAAAGAACTAAATATATATGTTTAAATAACATCTTCATGCCCTGATATCCCTGAAAATTTTAAAACATGAGACAAGAGAAACAAAGGGAACTCAAATATACAAGTGTGTTCGATAATATGCACCCAACGGTGTGGCGTAGCGGTCGATGAAGTAGGTGAAAACAATGAGATACCAGGGCTAAAATCCTTGTAGAGACAAAAAATACTAAGTGATTTCTTTTTTTTTAAGGAACGCTAAAGTGATTTCTTCCCATGTGCCTAAACCTTAATGGGTTGATACTTGTACTAGTGGTAGGTAGCAAATACCCGGTCGAATCATCGAGGTGCGCACAAATTGGCCCAGACAACACCATAAAAAAATTAGCTCACATATAAAATTCCTTTTGACAATATGCATCAGTGACATTCAAGTAAATGGCAATTTCAGTTTCCAAGTTCAGCAAATATAGGATTAGATGGAAACCACCAACTCAAATTTTTCTAGAGCAGAAGACGAGGAAAATCATTTGCATTGAGATACTAAAGTAGCAATTTTTGCAGCAGATCCAGCAATCTTCAGAGTTTAAGCACACAACGCCTTTAGACAATTGCACGGTTGGTTGTCAAACTTTGAGTAGTTATCAATGATTTATGCGCAAGAAGAAGACAGTTATAGGTTCAGATTGGAGACGGATGTCAAAGAACTGAAGGCACAGAAATGTGTCTTGCAAGATGAACAATACATGAAAGTTGAAACCATGATTCACTCGAAATTTATAGAGAAGGTTCTTTTCTGAGGAAAATAGGGAAGTCTAGGCTGTTCTTTCCATTACTTCCTACTATAAGCTCTATTCACCAATAAAGTTGATCAACACATTAAGAATATGCAACATTAAAGCAACAAATGACCGGAACAATGATATGCAGCGCAAGGGGCATCACGCCTTCATGGAAAACAAAATAACTAGAAGGATCAAACGAGAAGTACATTAGGTTATTGCTTCTCCAAACCTGAAGCTTTACAGTAAATAAAAGACCAAATGAAATATAATTATATAACACCCTTCCCCCACCCCCTTCTCCTCATGTTCACTTTCATTTATATTGCTGTGGTAGATTTTGTTTCATAATGTAATGAAAGACTACCCAGGTCCTGGAAGAGTATGAATTGGTTCTTGTTGTGCAAAAGCAAAACACATGAAAAAGCTCCCACTATGCGCGGGTCCGGACTACATCGGATCTCATGTGGCCACCAGAAAAAAAAAAAAAAAAAAAAAAAAAAAAAAAAAAAAAAAAAGACAGCAAAGACAAATAAGTACAAGTTGCAGAGCATATTAAGCTTTTTATATGGTTTCAACAGCAAGGGTCAAAACACAAGTAATAAATACAGAAGTTGGTTGTAATTTAGAAGAAGCAAGAGAGAGTTTAGTTTGTAACGGATGGAAGATGTATTGAGAAATGGAACCCAAGTAGAAAGTGATTACTGATGCTGTATTCCAGAAAAAGTTGAGCCCAAAACCATTTTATTGTAATTTGCTTTTGCTCTTTATATTTGGAAACTAGATAAAGCCCTAGGCTAAAACATTTGAGAAACAAACAGATAATAATAATAATAAAGAATTTAAAGGAAAAAAGATTCAAAGTTTAAAGTTCAGAAACATCTACACTGATATCAAAATAGCTTTCTCAAAAACGTAGGACTAATTCATTATCAAATTGAAAATCAAATTTTGTTGAAAATTGAAGAATCAAATATGTGTGAGCTCAAATTGGATAAGCAAAGCTCTTAACTTTACCTTCTCTAAAGATGGGTGACAATCCTCTCTGTGCCGCTGGCTGGAATTGGATAGAAGAGGATGCGAAAATTAGTTTATAAATTCAGGCAAATCTGTTCTTATCATATTAAAATATAAAAAAAAGATGATTGATTTGTATATATAACAGACAAATGATTGCGCGACTTTGGGCTTTCCTGGGGTTTTTTCCTTCTAAAATAGTTTATTTGACTGGAAGGGAAAACCGTAAAAATAGCCTAGTTTTCGGACTGGTCATTCAAAAATAGTCAGCGTTTATCAAGTCAATGAAAAATAGCCACTATTTTGCTGCAACAGATACCGGTCCAGCATAATATATTGGAGTTCGGTGCACCTGTGTATGAACTTCCAGCATATTATGCTGGACCGGTATATTTTGCTGGTGCTCGAGTATAATATACTGGAGACTGGAGCATCAGTGCTCTAACTCCAGTATATTATGCCGCTTGAACTCCAGTATGTTATGCTGCTGGAACTTCAGTATATTATGTTGGAGTATTTTTCCGGATTTTGAATAGTATTTTCGTTCAAATTTATCTTTACATGAAAAGTGGCTAAATTTCTAATTACTTTTAAAACTAAGCTATTTTTAAACGACCACTTGTAAATCTAGCTATTTTTTAATTTCAAACACCAATTTGTCCTTTAGTTTGATTTGGTTTACACCAAATTTTTAAAAAATGATGTTAAGCCAAAGAAATCAAATTATCCAATCAAATCTATAAAATATTCATATATAATAGTCACTTGGTAAGCATTGTATCTCGTATTCATGAGATTTTTTTTTTTTAAATGACATAAATCAATATGTCCAAATTATAAAATATCAATTTAAAAAATTGCAAGTTTCTGAAAATAATAGATGTTGATGTTGTTTAAAATTTTGGAATCTTCGTCTCGTTTGCTCGAGTATTTATTTCAAATCTTGCCAACTCAATATAATATGTAAGAGTGGCAATTAGTTCACTAAATACTTGGAGAAGTTTTACTGAGTTATTTTTTCTTATGTTCTACTTAATAGAGCTTCTTGCTTTAGTAAGCTTCTATGTTATAGTACTCATGGTTAGAAATTGAAATAAAAAAATTCTACAAAAAAGAACCCATCAAATAATCACTTGGTTAAGCATACAACAACAACAACATACCCAGTTAAGCATATTTCTTTTTATTATCTGGTTCTTTAGTGACCTTGGTTAACCAGGTCTTTGAATAGTTATCATTACTATGTTCATGAAATTCATCTATAACACAATAAACTCAATGAGGCTAAACTAAACTTCCAATCCTGTCTCACTAACGTTCAGAAATTTGGCTCTATTCAAAGTTAAGAGTATTTAAATAGAAAAGGAGTGATACAGATTTTACAAAGCCATGGAAAATGCCAAAGCCCATGAAGCAAGCAGTACCCTGATGTCAGTTAAATAGCCCTCTAGCCAAGCAGTTCATATAAACAATTACACCAACATGAAGAACTCCCCAAAAACCAGATCGAGATGAGCAAGCTAATGAACTTGGTAAGAAGGATGTCTTCTTCGAGCCTGTTGTACTGAGAGAGGAGGTCGTCTGTTGTGTGCCTAGACATGCAGAAGAAAGAGTTCAGACGCATATAGGTCTCAAAAGTTAAAGTTCGGGATGATACAGGAAGGCAGTTCAGGACACATTCAATTACCAAAATCACACACAAATATACATATAAATCATGCATGTGTTAAGATTTCTTGCTACATATGAATCTGAAACTATTAGCGTTGAAGGCCCATAATTCGTAGGACATCTCACATATATCCATTGGCCTAAACATGTGGTGCATGCTATCAAGTAACATTGGAGTTGATTGGCATATCCTAGACTCTAGGCTTGCAGGAATAAATTTTTGAAAGGGAAAAGTAGATAGCATAAGAATGCTATTATATGATAATTGACATGATTGCCCATGCATCTCTGAAGAAATGAAGTCCATACCCCAATTTTTGTCATGTGACGACAAGAGGAACATCGAACTGATGGCGCCCCATAAGGGTACATGAGCAGCACTGCACAACCCCCACATTTAACTTGTCCAACCTCATGAGCTGCAGCGGTAATAATCAGAACCATATGAGTAAGTTCCGTAAAAATGAGTTAACAGTTCTAATTTCAACCATTGAATAATTCAACAGGTGTATAGATCCACGAGAACAAGAAACTAATAAAATTGTCCACGTCCTGCTTCCCTGTTATCCAATTCTGACTTATGAGAGGATCCACATGCCATTTCACATTAGACAGAAAAGATTTACATTATCAGAGGGAATTCAGAAGTAAAAGCACCACAAGGTTGTATAAAGTGCTGATTTCTGAATAAAAAGCATGGAAAAACTAACTGCTCATACTATCGATTTTGAAATAGCTTTGTATGTGATATTTTCAACAATGTTGGCACATGTCATGGTTCAACAGAACTTATATAGGGGGCAACCTACCAATGATTAATTGAAACAACTATCAACAACTTCACTAGAATACATCTGATTTCATGACCAAAAGGGTAAAACGAAATCAAGGACTGTTGGAATCAAAGTGTAAAGGAGGCCAGTAATAACCTTCCAGGACAAAATTGACAGTCTGGCAGCACGAACACTTCACCAATTTAGCCCCTTGTGGATATGTAAGTAATTGTCGGCAAGAACCACAAACCATCTGACCCATTTCTGCACCAAACCGTACACCAGAAATGGGAATATATTATTTAGTGATTATTTTACACTGGACAATTCTGAAACAAGAGGCCAGTAATAGTAACAATGGACTTTGCTTCTAATTAACTATAAGAAGAAATATAATGTATGATCGTGAGGACAAGTATATTGTAATCATTGAACTCATATACAACCTGACTAAAATTGAGAAACTGAGTCTGTTACTCTCCAGTGAAAAGGACTCACCGGCAGAAGATGTTGTTGCAGGTAATGAGGATTGAGGCGCTGTAGGTTTAATCCGTGATAAATGCGATGTAGGTTGCTTTTCAATTGGGGGCCTTACCTCCTCGTTCTTTGTGCCTTCTTGTTTTTCAATTGGGGGCCTTACCTCCTCATTCTTTGTGCCTTCTTGTTTGCTACCCATCTCCATTTCTGATAGTTGAACAGTTTAGTCATTATCTCCCCCAAAATGTCCATGGAAAAGGTAAAAAAATACCAAGTGAAACTAGTAGATCAGGACTCACATGCTGCAATGTAATAAAGTCAATTTTATCTTTAAATACTTCTAAAATTATATACAAGCCAATCAAGAAATGTGAAAGGAGTTCAAATGACTAAAAGCAGATTGGACGCAGTTCTTTGGCATGACACAGAGGTTCACTGCTCTACTTTAACCCATTATATATAGTTATATGCTACTAAGGAATTGCAGCAGAGTTTACCAGAAGAAGCAACTGATGATGATGACTGAGGTGGTGGTGTAGGTGGTGATGAATGTCCAGCCATAGGAATGGATGATCCCGGTGGATGCCCTTCTTTTTCAACTGCACACTGCTGTTTGCTCCCCATCTCAACATCTACAAAAGCTAATGCTAGCTAGACGTTAAAGGATATTGAATAAATAGAGTTTATCCACTGCCAAATAAGCACCAAACCCAGGTGCTAGCCACTTAGCTATCTACATGCCCGACTTTTATATGTATTATACAGCATGGTCGAAGATTAGCTCTCCAAGGAACCAAATGTCGAATTTTAGTACTGCTAATCTGGACTTTGAGTATACAAGCTTTTAAGGTATGAACCCTAGCTCACTTATCTTAAAAAATTGTATAATTAATGAGAACCTCTCGTGTTTTATGCTTATAAATTTTGACTCTACCAAGAAATACCTTAAATGTCAAACCTCCAACAGCTAGCATTTTTGCCACATATTAACCCCTAATTTGTCTTAATAGACAATTATTGAGTATTGGAATGAAACTCGGCCCAAATAGACCAGAGTGGATATAGAGGACTCTTATAGCTAACCCCACTAGTCGGGATTGAGGCGTAGTTTTGTTTGTATTATCCCTTTGATTATTTCCATATCTTGAATATAATTCATCACTTGTCTTTTTTACGTGTTCCTATAGAATTAATTTCTACTCAGTTTGGCCTACCTTATTTCAATCACATCCCACCTGCAGTTTCAATAAACACAAAGACACTGGGCATGTCATCTCTCTTACAATGCTGATCTACAACAACAAGCATGAACTTACACTGAAGGGTGTTACGTAACTGAGGCCCGTGATATTCTAAACTAAAGAAAACACAAGCTTGCATGTACACATATGGACTACAGTATTTTATCACATAATACTTGAACTTGCAAATATGGACACTTAGAATCTGAGTAGAAAAGGGAGAACTTACCAGCAAGAAGAGTTTGCTGTGTCCCTAATGGTGGTGTAGATGTTTGTAGTGGCTGTAGTTGAGGGATCAACTGCCATCCTGGTGGTGGACCATTATCTTCATCTTCAGCGACTTCTTCCTTCTTCTCCATTTTTATATCTGAAAGTCAGAAGGCTAACTTTTATGAACCAAACAAATCAAGAAGACTCATTCATCCCCAAATTCTTCATAATCTTAGTGGACAACTAGATGAAGCCAGCATCTAGTTCATTTACATAGAGCATCCATAATGCAGAAGAATTAATGCTGATTATAAGCCTTGCATATTATTACTTTCAATTGTTTAAATTAATTATTTGGCAAGAATAAGCTAGTGAAATTGCAAACCTTTAAGAGACACCAAAAAACAACCAAAAAGGGGACATCGCAATTGAAAACATAAATATTGATACTTAGAATCTGAGTAGAAAAGGGAGGACTCACCAGCAAGAAGAGCTTGTTGCGTCCCTGATGGTGGTGTAGAGGTTTGTAGTGGCTGCAGTTGAGGGGTCAACTGCCATCCTGGTGGTGGACCATTATTTTCATCTTCAACGACTTCTCCCTTCTTCTCCATTGCTGTATCTGAACGTAAGAAGGCTAACTCTTATGAACTGAATAACTCAACACTCGATCATCCCCAAATTCCTCCTATTCATAGGGGACAACTAGATAAAGCCAATATCTAAGCTCAGTCACATGAGAGCGCCCATAATGCCGAATATACTAATGCTGGTTGCATATTTATATTTTCAATTGATTAAATTAATTGTTCGCGAAAGAATAAGCTAGTGAATTGCAAACCTTTGAGAGACATTACCAAAAATCAACCATAGCAAGTTAGCAACAGAAAAATGTAAACATGGACACTTAGAATCTGAGTAGAAAAGAAAGGACTCACCGGCAAGTAGAGCTTGTTGCGTTCCTGATGGTGGTGTAGACGTTTGTAGTGGCTGTAGTTGAGGGGTCAACTCCCATCCTGGCGGTGGACCATTATCTTCATCTTCAACGACCTCCTCTTTCTTCTCCATTTCTATATCTGAAAGTCAGAAGGCTAATTCTTTTGAACCAAATAAATCAAGAAGACTCAATTATCCCCAAATTCCTCCTAATCTTAGTGGACAACTAGATGAAGCCAGCATCTTAGCTCATTCACATTAGAGCATCCTTAATGCAGAAGAATTAATGCTGATTACAAGCCTTGTATATCATTACTCTCAATTGTTTAAATTAATTGTTTGGCAAGAATAAATAGTGAACAACAAACTTTTAACAGACATTACCAACAACAACTACGCCTCAGTCCCAAACAAAGTTGGGGTCGGGATATGAATTCTCACTTCTTTCGCTCTACTCATATCATCATCATGTCAAAATAATATAAGAGTAGCAGTGAAATAAGTTGAATTTATATGTAAATAATAATAATAATAATAATAATAATTAATAAGAAAAATAGTAATGTTTAAAGCCTATTCCTAACTAGTAAGTATCACATATATATATCTTTAGCTAAGTCTGCATTGAACTTGTAAACATGGAACTTAGAATCTGAGTAGAAAAGGGAGGACACACCGGCAAGAAGAGTTTGTAGTGTCCCTGATGGTGATGTAGATGTTTGTAGTGGCTGAAGTTGAGGGGCCAACTCCCATCCTGGTGGTGGACCATTATCCTCATCTTCAACGATTTCTTCTTTCTTCTCCATTTCTATATCTGAAAATCAGAAGGTTAATTAATTCTTATGAACCAAATAAATCAAGAAGACTCATTCATCCCCAAACTCCTCATAATCTTAGTGGACAACTAGCTATCCCCTTCTGATAGAAATCAACAATGTATTCCTGTGTTAAAACACATCGAAAACATATAAGCGAGGAAAAGCAGAATTGGTATATATTTAAATAACATTAAAACAAACGCGACAACCAACAAGCACACAAATGAAGCCGCATGAAATGGCAGCCAGTACTAATGACGTTACTAGGGCCAAATAATGATCCACATGATTATCTCTTAAAAAGATGCAACAAAAATAAACATGAAAATTGAAAGAAGGCACCACCAACGATCTTTATGTTGAAACACGGTTCATGTTCATTGCCATCCAAAAATTACATCTACTCCATAATATGAAGAGTTGAGTTTCAAGAACCGAGCTAACAGAGGTCTGAAGATTTTTGGTAAATATATACACTTAATATCAGAAGAAGGCTGACTACTTTCTTTTACTGATTTGTTTACCAAGAATATGGTAGAGGCATTAATCCAGCGAAGCTGAAAATTCTATTTCAAAAGCTTTACCATTTCTTTTGTTACTCTATTTCAAAAACTTTTTCAGGTTCAGAAGACATCTCTTTCACTGTGTATCTGGATACAATAGGAAAATGTGACCTGGAAAATCAGGCAAAAATGATGGGCATTTTGTTTGTGTGAGGGGAAAAGAGGGAGAGACCGCAAGGAGGGGGGGGGGGGGGGAGGGAGAGAAAGTAAATCTGACAGTTAATGATTTACCACAAGTAACTGCTGCTGTGCCTCGTAAAGTAGATGGTGAATCTTTCTGTGGGATTACAGCGTTCCACCCAGGTGGTGGACCATCTTCATCGTCTTCTGATTCGTGTTCTCTGCTCCCCATCTCTACATCAGTAGTCTGTTCACAAGTTACCTTTGTGTATCTGAAGCTTCAGCTAGTATTTGCATTCACTAAGCAATTATACTTCTGCATTAACTGTTTCCTCTTTTTCTTCTCCAGTTTCAATGTTTCAATGATAGTCATTATACTGCTCTAGCTTCAGAGTTCTAAGAACTCCAACCCTTGAGAGCATGAAGTTCCAGGATAGTTGACGAGAGCTGAGTGCTAGTGAAGAGTAGTATACAGTATTTCAATGTTCAAGAAAGCACAAGCAATCTATACTTTATTATGATCTTGTTGAAGTGTAATTTCTTGAAGATTAGTCATTTTGGCTACCTATTTGTGCAGATAATTTGCAAATGTGACTCTTGTGAATGATTCCCTTCAACTTTAATTTCCATACACGCAACAAACAATGACAAGAGGTTCCATCATAGAGTAAAGATGTAATTCCACAATTGAAGAAAAAGTTGACATGTATTTTTCAAATGTGATTTCACTGAAAATTATGTAGCTTCAGAGGCACCTAACTTTAGAGCTTTAAGTTGATAATGACATTTCCCTTTATTTTCTAAAGAGTTGACAAAGCAGTTTTTCTTTTCAAAATTTTCAGGTATCATTTAATCCTTCTTGATTTGTTTTCAACAAGGTCCCCCGTATTACCTGGTTATTAAGCTAAGCTTATGAAAGATAACTCTCAAAGAATTAGAAACCGAGGTTATCTTAGAAGAGACCAACGGTAGTCATAGAATAGAAAAGGGTGAATGGGTGATAATCAAGTAGCCTTTTTTGTAAGGACTATAGGACGGCAAATAGGTCATGGAAAGATTAATAAGTACAGAAATAAAAAGGCAAAGATAGAAATAAATAATCAAAAGAAAAAAGTTAATACAGAAAGAAAAAGGAAAGACTTATACATATAATGCCTGAACAAGCTAAATTGCAACCATAAAAGTTCACATCAGGAAACCCCACTTTTCTCAAAATTATACATATCATAAAATGATGAATCCTCTAAAATGACATAAACTGAGTCCAATTAGTTTGGTATTCTGGCATAGTTGTTCGATTGATTGACAATTAGAAAATGCAACATTTTCTTTTCATTATTAATGGTATCAAGCCTCAACTATTAGCTCTTGTTTTGACAGATGAATGTACTTGTCTACATGCCTCTCTCATACATAAGCATAATGGGGACATCCTTTAAACTGAATTCTTGAGCACAATACAAGTAATTCATGGAAAGCCAGCGAAGATCAAATTCAACTATATCAAGAGTCTTTAAACAAATCAAAAGCAAAACTCCCCAAAATTTACCTATATCTCTTTTAGAAATTGCAATGTCCTTTTCATGATTGACAAGTACATATGGTATCAAGATTCAATCTTTCACTAATGTCCCATCTCTGAGAGATAAGTGAACTTGTCTACATGCATCAATCATAGAAGAAAAAAATTAAAATCGACAGCCATGAAACTGATTTTCATCAACAAAATACAGGTAACTCAAGAAAACAAAGGTAAAATAAAAATTTAATAGATACCCATTTTTAGTAATTTATCATTAACTCACCAGGAGAAGCTGTTGATTTTGTTGCTGAGGATTTGAGGGCCAACCAGGAGGTGGGCCCTCATCTTCATCAGTCTCATCATTGGTGGTATGTGCTAAAGAATCAAAACCAGGTGGTGGGCCCTCATCTTCTTCTTCTTCTTCTTCGATGTTGTTTAAGTTTTCTTCCATTCGTTTGCTCTTCAGTGAATCAGACAGCAAAGTGGGGTTTAAGGAATTTTGCCGCTAATTTACATCTGAATATATAGGTTTTCAATGGCGACTGCACAACAGGTTTGGAAAAGTTTTTTCTTCTAGGAAAACGTTTTGAAAAATAAAATATTTAAATATTTGCGTGACTTTTTGACGTTTTTGTGAGTGTTTTGAAATAAAGACCGTCACAAGGTATTTTTTTTAAAAAAAAAATAGTAACAATCTTTTCTAGGAATAATAAATTTGGCATAAAAAAAAAAAAAAAAAAATGGAGCTCTCGGAGGTTGGTTTATATATCTGTTTAAAAAGTGAGATTTTTCCCTTCACATAATCGGGCTACCAGATTTGAAATCATGACACTGTAATTTGCCATTACAAATCAGTTTTTTTAAGTAATCGGAGAAATCAGAATATCACTATGAATTTCTTTTATTGAATTAGATCCTTGTTAAATGCTAAGTGCTAGATATTTAGAGCCCATCTGGACATAAGAAATTTTTATCTTTTTTCCAATTAATTTTATTTTTTTTCCTCAAATCAGCGTTTGATCATAAAATTTACAATTTTCACTTGAAGATGCATTTAAAAAAAATTTAAAAATTTGAAAAATTCCAAAAAGTTATTTTTCAAAATTCACTCACAAAACTTCAAAAACAAATCAAAATTATATTCACGTCCAAAACGCAACTCTAAATTTCAAATACCACTTTCGCTTGAAATTATTTTACCACTTATTTTGAAATTTTACAATTCTTATGTCCAAACGCCCGCTCAGTATCACAGTATCTTTTAGGGTCTCGTCCTATAACTATGTTGGTGTCACCGTGTCAGCACAAAAAAGGATAAAATTGAATGAAGTATCAACAGTTGCGAGTTCAAAATTCATGCGTCCTATTCCCTAATACTCTAATAAGATAATATTCTGGTAATACTCTAATAGATATATTCTTTCTTCTAAATACTATTTCATAAAGGCAAACTATTCAAAGAGAGAGAGAATGGTGTTTTGAGCTTCTGTTTATGAGCTTGAGGCTTCAAATTATATCCCGCAACACTGCAAGGAGGAATTTCAAAGGAAAAATGTATAAACGCTCTCAAAATAGTAGCCGAATAAATATTTTTTGTACATATGTTATATACAAAAATTATACTATTTTTATACACTTTTTCGGCTAATAATTTCTGGCGCGGGCTAAAAATTATAATACCCCAATTTCAAGATACTCTACTACTTTCAAGACCAAAAAATTGTTGTTCAACTAAAATAAGCTAAAAGGATTAAAAGCAAAAGAACTGTAGTCATTTCTTTGTAAGATGAAGTCGCTATTATAAGCTTCAACTCATCAAATATGACGCAGCTCTAATGAAGAACCTCTTACAGGAAAAAAAGAAAACAACAAAAAGAAAAGAATTTTCCGAAGAGAACCTCAGACATACGTGTTCTACTTTACATGCGAGAATTACTCCCAAACCATAACTTTTTAATCTCTGTACTGAGGTCCATAAGTGTCTTGTTCTCATTAGATATACGATGACATGTTGATCTACAAACATTCTAAAACACATAGGATGTTGATCCTCATATTGTGAATGCAAAACTGACTGCTCATAAAGTAGGATTTTAAATCTATAAAACAAGGGGAACTTTTCTAGCAGGCAATTTTTTCTCCGTATAGCCAAATTAATCAAGCTCCTTTTTTCTTTTGATCTTTGGCTTGTTTGACATCCTTTGTAAGCATTCTTGGAGCTATAGCCATAGCCATTAGCTCCTGGAAAAGCAACTTGCATGCATATGGAATGTGGACCTGCACCAACAGAGCCAATATTATGTTTTAAGACCACAGAAAAGACTTGCTATTTTACTGTGACGTGTAAACTATAAAGAGCATCCACCAGAAACATGTATGCGATGCCAGTGCATGTGATTGTATGGGGTGCAAAAGCAGGCACGGGAAGAAAATATTTACCTGGACAATATCAGTCTTGTTCTTGCAACCTCTGCATTCAAAAGAACTCTTCTTGAGGTTTGCAATAGCAATCAGCCCACATCGCTCACAAACATGAACTCTATATGCATCACTTTGGTCAAATAACCGCTCTTTGAGAAAATGAGCAGCACCGTGAGCAATCATACAATCTCGCTCCATCTCTCCGAATCGAAGACCACCATCACGTGACCGACCTTCCGCAGGCTGCCTTGTGAGGATTTGCACAGGGCCTCTGCCTCTAGAATGAATCTTGTCATCAACCATGTGCTTCAGTCGCTGGTAGTACGTGGGACCAAGGAATATCATCGCACTAAGCCGCCGCCCAGTGTGACCATTATACATGGTCTCAAAACCATGCATCTGGTATCCACATTTATGCAAAGCTTTGCTGATGTTATCCACAGTAACATCTGTAAAGGGAGTGGCATCACCTTCTTTTCCCATGTGTGCGGCAACCTTTCCCATAATACACTCAATCAGCTGACCGATAGTCATTCGAGAAGGAATAGCATGAGGATTCACAATGATATCAGGAGTAATGCCTTCCACAGTCCATGGCATATCTTCTTGTGTATACGTCATGCCAACTGTTCCCTTCTGACCATGCCTACTGCTAAACTTATCCCCAATTTGAGGAATGCGGACTGATCTAACCCTCACTTTAACAAATCTGAGCCCGTCAGCATTTGTTGTTAATAGAACCTGATCTACCATTCCAGTTTCACTATGGCGGAGACTGGTACTGTGATCTTTCCTTGTATAGCGAGAGGCTTGCCCTTGTGCATCATCTTGAGAAATGGGAGTTGTCTTCCCAATGATTACATCCTCACCAGAAACTCTAGTTCCCGGAGGGGCAAGACCATCATCATCCAACTTATCATAAGAACCATGCCGCATACCCATAGTAGAAGCTCTATCAGGACGTCCAAAGTCCTCCTTGACCAATGTCCCCATCTTCTTTTCCTCATCCCTGTATGAACGGAAAAATAGTGATCGGAAAAATCCACGATCAATCGATGACTGATTCATAATGACAGAATCCTCTTGATTGTATCCAGAGTAGCAGGAAATGGCAACAATTGCATTGATGCCTGCAGGTAGTTGCCTGAAATGCAAGTGTTCCATGGCTCGTGTTGTGACAAGAGGCTTCTGAGGATAATAAAGCACATAGGCCAATGTGTCCTGCCAGAACAAAAAAAATTGTCACCTTGACAGACAGAAAACAAAAGCCTCCCAAATATCATGGAGAGAAATAAGTAGGCTCCCTACCATCCGAAATTGGTAGTTGGTGACATAAATCCCCATGGCTTGCTTACCCATAGCTGACTGATAAGTATTACGGGGAGACTGATAAAAAAACAAATAAACACAGAAGATTAGAAGATCAGAAACAACTTGACAAGAGAAGTCACAACCAAAACATAACTCACCTGATTATGATCAGGAAACGGAATAATTGATGCACAAACACCCAATATTAGTGACGGGTGAATCTCACAGTGGGTATAGGTATCAGAATATGCTTCCTCAGGATTAAGGCGTGCTTGCACAAGATCCTAGAAATATTAACATCAGCATTTCAGCATAAAGCGTTAAAAATAGCAAGACCTCTGCCGACTACTCACGTTTATAGTCATGCTTATCATCGTTGTTTCTTCTTCTTCAGTGTCAATGTACTCGATGTATCCCTTAGCCACCAGATCGTGCCAGCCACCCTCTTCAGGTGATTCCTGAAAAAAAAGAACACTGAATATGTAAGTTACTGAAGCAAAGAGNTCTTCTTGATCAGCAGCCTTTGCTTTTCCACAATAAATAATGGACGACTGCACCTCCCATAGTCTGTATAAATTCGAAGTTCTTTCAAACGGATATCACGAACCACCCCGACTTCAGTATTGACGTCAACCTGCATAAAACAGAAATAAAGTCACTTATGCAAAATAACCAAAGCAAATGCAGAAGCTCCAGTTTCAAGTGATAATATTTAGAAGGCCAAGAGTGTTTAAGAGGGTGCCTAAAGAATGAGGCCAGAGAACTTAGTAGAAACCACTAGACAATGTCAGTTTTTAAGCCAGAATAAAGGTGCATTCCAACTCAACATCCATATGTTTACAATGGTTGGATGAGAGCATGGCTATAATATATAACAAATCAAAGATATATAGAACTGACATCGTATTGCTGTTCTTCCAGATTACTATGCAATTATATGGCTTTTACCATCCTCCAATACATATGCTTCGGACGGTACAACTACTACCATCCACTCAAAGTTAATGAAGATTGTTTCTTACCCTTCTCCTAAGTCGTCTCAGTGTTCTCACCAACATGTCAGGATCGCGATGAATTCCCACCCAGGTACCATTGACAAATATCTTTGTAGCCTGTGGAATTACGGCAGGAGAAATTTCCTAGATTTACAGAAAAAGCAATGGTGAGCCAAGGAAGACGTATCATCATCACACTTATAGAGTAAAGAAAATACAGAATAATTAAGCTGACCCACAAACATCCTGACCCACTGAGATTTCTCACCTCAAAGTTCTCAGTACCCCACTCTTCCAGAAACTCCAGAATTGGATATGCCGCTGAACCAACTGTTATATAAACCATCAAGGCTAGATTCTTCACCAGCCCACATGCCTAATCAAATCACACGTAGAACACATAAAGTGATGAGAATCAGTCTCCGAAGAATCTCATTCCTGTTTGCATTCTATGGGATTTATTATAGGGATGGGAGAAGGGGCGGGGCTGATCCAGCCACATCCTGGTATAGCAGAAGCTCCACAGGAGAGCAGTCACTTACTTGACCCTCTGGTGTTTCTGCAGGACACATCATTCCCCACTGTGAATTATGCAATTGCCTTGGTTTGGCCAGTTTCCCTGGTAAACAAACACAGTATAACCTAAATAAACAAAGGGAAAAAAGGAAACAGAACTAGTAATAACTAACTACCAATATAATTGACAGGAATAAGATTCCATGTTTCATGAATATAGAGGTGCGGGTAGGGTGGCCTTATTGTGAATTTTCCATTTGCTTTGGTGTTCTCTGAAAGATTAACTGGGACGTGATTTAGCCAACCCCAACTAGTTTGAGATTAGGGCAGACAATTGATTATGTGGGAAGCGAACTA